CATTTTAATAAAAGTTTAAAATCATAACAACTAAGAGTTATTAAAATTCTAAAATACATTTGTTTCACTACATATATATGTTGCTATCAATAGACGTCACTTCCGGTAATAGCTCTTTTCTGATGGCTTGTAGAATCTTGGAGGTTGTTTTGATCTCTTTTTTTCTGTCGTAGAAATAGTCAAATGCAATAGTTTGAGGACTTATTTTGACATGTTTTGACTTAACATCCGCTAGTTGCCCCTCAGTCAACCGCTTGTTTGCCCCCTAGTCAACTTCAAAAAAGTCACGTGATTGATAGTAAGCAATACACATACGTAAGATAATTTTTTTTATTTTTTTATTTTTTTACTTAGTTGTACTTCAAAATTGCATTGTTAAGAACTTGGTTTTATAAAAATTGCATTTATATATTATGAAAATTTAAACTCATAACAACATCAGACTAATTACTGCTAAGATAAATTGTACGTTTGTTTAAATAGCCAGGTTTTAAGCTCCCGCTTGAAACTGGTAATTGATACAGAAGACCTAATATTTGGCGGAAGTCTGTTCCATATCTCAGGAGCAGCATTCGAAAAAGCTCTTTTCACATATTATTTAAGCCTGAAGGAACCTTTGGTTAAAGGATTTGATGATGCTGATCTCAGTAGAGCGAGCTGGGTCACATGGCTTAACAAGTTCACGTAGGTAGAAAGGAGCAGCATTACTTAGAGAATTCAATTTGCTGCTCAATAGGCAACCAGTGCAAGCGAAAAAGAACTGGAGTGATATGATCATGTTTGTGACCACAAGACACGAGTCGTGCAGCTGCATTCTGAACATGCTGAAGTTTTTGCGGTTTTTTGGCAAGCCATACAACAAAGAATTGCAAAAATCAAGTCTGGAAGATATAAGGGTATGGACAAGAGTTTCGCATGCTTCAAACACTTATTTAGCTAATTGCTGCATTTGCAGTCTCAACATCCAAGTCTATGTCCTTTATGTTCCTAGGTACTCTTCTTGTGGTTCTTGAGCCCCTAAGGCATAGAAGAGCTGATCTCAAA